GAAAAAAGCCTTGAAAGGTATAATTACGGAATCTAAGTTGTATAATTTTATTGAAAATAACCGGAAATATAATATTTTATGTTTTTAATAGGTTTATTAATTTTGTAATTTCTACAAATCAATTAATTAATTAACTTTGCGCAATTCCTACAAATTAATTAATTAATTAATTTTGCAATTTCGTCAAATTTTTTATTGTAAAGATCATCAATTTACTACTTTTCGTAGGTTCAATGCTCGATTCCATAGTTACAGTTACAGTTTTTGGGGGATATGGAGCAACAAAGGCTATTATCCCTCTCTATTCCACTAAAGATTAATTGTGAAGAATAATGAATGCTGCTGCGTGTTAAGGGAAGCTCATCATGAGAGCCATGAAGTTTCATCAAATGTTCTATTTATCTGACTATTATTTGAAATTATTAGTCTTACACACAAGCACTCATATTACTCTAAGGCCATGATAAAAAAACCCGTTAAATTTTGACTTTGTTGTCAAAATCAAATACCGCCGTACTTACGTAATATACCGTCGATTAATTTCATCAAATCAAAAAGCATCGTCAAATGCCTCGATATACAGCCAGTTGTGGAAACCTTTTTATTTCTAATGGGCTGCGGATTGGTATTTTACCATTGCAGACCCCTTGTACATTACCCCGAATTTGTTTTTTTCTTTTAGTGCGACACCACATAGGCGGATACCAATCGTCGCAGGTAATTTTTGATGCCCAGTTTCCTCCCTAGAGGGAGGCACCTAAGCTCTGACGATGCAAACCTGCACTTAAAGTTTAATTTTGCCGAGATCACCCAGGTCAAACAGACACTCTAGGATCTTTTGCATGCTGTATAATCATACGGCATGACCACTGTCGATTTTCTGCATCATGAAAATCCACCGACTTGGGCCGGGATCGAACTCGCAACCTTAGGTGCAAAAGACCAGCGACAAACCAACCGCGCCACCCAGCCGGCTATAGTGAAAACCCTTCTCGTGCATTTTCAAATACAATAATAACAATGATAACATTTGGCGACATTTTTTGAACTGGCGATGTCTTTTGATTTGGCGAAATTTGTCGACTGTATAGTACCAATATCGTTAATTAAGTTTTGAACTTTTCAAATACATTGATATTTCGTGCAATTAGGGTTCGGAAACTATTGTCAATAATAAAATATTCGGTAATTAAGAAAATATAATGGTGGTGAGAGTAAGGTAATTTCATCGATTGTCCCTATAAAAAGTAGAGCACGTACGGGTTGGCGATTGCTTTACCGAGTTTTCGCCAACAGAAACATTGGAACAATATTATCCTATATGATACATTCCCTGTATAAACACAATGTTCGAAAAGGACATGACAAGTTTGTCGTATTTGGCTCTATGGTCTCTATAACCAAAGTACTAAAGTTGCTTTTATGCATTTCGAAATTTTGTTTTTCTTATTTCGAAAAATGGAAGTGATTTTTAATTAAGAAACAAATTTTAGGAATTTCAGTTTTCTTTATTTATATCATACGTTGTGGGATTTTACAATCTGAGTAAGATATTGAATTACGATTCGAATTTATATTCAGGTATTCTGAACAGTATTCGAAATCCTAATTTCAGGACACACATTCGGGAAGCCTTCACATCGAACTTCATTACGAAAAGATATTTTTACAGTACAAAACTCCTTTTATATTAAGTTGACTGGAAGGAAAAAGTAATAATGCCTATACGCTTTCTAAAGTAAACACGCATACCAGATAGCTCTCTCTCTGATTTGAATTATTAACACTAACGAACTATATAATCCATGTAGGGAAGAGTTTTCGTGTCGAGGGTTCGTATTGTTGATCCCATGGACATCTTAAGGCATTGGCCTACTGGTCCCGGGTCCAGAGCCTCAGCCACGATGAAGGCCTCGTCTCTGCTTTAATAAAATCCTAATTCGAATAATTTCTACGGTTAAATGTTGATTCCCGTTGTATTCTCATAAAAACTAAGAATTTCGAACAATGTGTCAATTGGTTACTTGTGAAGACCACAGTCCACCTACAGGTCAAGGCCTACTTCATACACCATCATTACTTATGCAATCAAAAAGCGGCAGTCGGTCGAGCCGTCTTGTGCTATTGTAATTCCTGCACATTTATATGCTTCGGGTTATTATTTGTACGAATATTTGACAACGTATTCTATTGTCTACTTTTGAGGGTCATAGGTAGGGACTTCATTTGTGTAGGGGACAGGAACTACTTCTGAGTAGGATCCCAGGACCTCAAGAGGTCTTAAGGCATCCTGGTTGAACCTACATGATATCTCTCATCTTCTACAAAACACCGAATGAATCTTATAGGAATTTTAGGCTTTATAGTATAAAGTATGCCCATCTGAATTAGCACTACTTTTTTTCCAAATTTTATCCGATTTTACAAAATGTTAATTTTACACCTAAAGTTTTGCTAAGATATAATTTCCGTTTCAATTGCATTCGCTACAACAAATTTCAGAAAATGAATTAAAAAACATTTTACTCTCTTTTTCGGTTCTAAAATTGTGGAGCAAGTCTCATATGTCCGGATTGTCGCTTTACAGTGGATCCCAAGTCATGTTGGGATCCCCGGCAATGTGAGAGTCGACCAAAAGGCCAAGCAGGGTGTTGAGTCGTCTCAACCGGAAGTCCCCTTGATTCTCAGAAAAGTTAAAAGAGCATTGTTTCCACATTCATTGACAAATATACTACCGTGACCCCCAAAACCAAGAGACTTGAAAAGCTATGGGAAACTCTGGCCACTGTGGGTTCAATCCCGAGGTACCTGGTGAATTACACGGGAATGCTAGCCCAAAGATTCTCCAAGAGGATTAGTTGGTGAAGGTCGCGTAAAGACCCGTCACAACCTCACTGTCCAAACCATACGAACGTAAAGACTTTGAGTCATAATCAGGGGAATAGCTACCACCGTATCAGCATTATCAATGATACGGGATCTCCCACTATAATAACTATAATCCCACTAACAGGGCTTCCATACCTAAAAAAGGTCCCCGAAGGATTTTTGATACAGGATCCTTTCAGAACTAGCTACGCTAGTGGCTAAGATGAATGAGTGTAATGACTACAATAATGAATTGACCACAAATGTATACATGAAAGGTTTATAAGCAAACTTAGAGTTATGTATAACTTGTCTACTCAAACACAAAGAGGCGGCGGACTTATTCTTAAATGCTGGTTTATTGAGCGACGGTTGGTGTTACGTGCTCCGTGGCTAGAGTCTACAGCAAGGGTGTCAAACTCAAAGGCTAACTTGGGCCAAACAAACAAGGTTTATCCTTAGGTAGGCCGCAAAAAAAATCAATATTCATAGAAACATAAGCTTTTTTCGAATAATACATTATAATAAACATATATGAAAGAACGAGAAAAATTTTATGTTTACATCCTGACACTTGACATCTCTTCTATGCTACTATCTTTCCCATTTAGAGAGAAATTTTGATACTTAATTAAGAATTACTGTATGTTGATATACTGGCCGGTCCGTAAAAATATTCGTTGTGACCCGCGAGTTTGACATCCCTGGTCTACAGAAATACTGAATACAAATTGTAAGCAAACGATGACTACTAGCGCCATCCGCACCTGCGGGATGAAGCAATGGATTTAACGATCATCAGCCTATCTACACGGTGGATTTTCAGTGGCACTGGGGTTCAAACCCTAGTCGCTGCCACAACTGTTTCTGGTAATGAATTACTTAACTTAGAAAAACAGAGGACAGAATAATACTACACCCGAAAAGAACAACACTACATTTCTAACTTCTATTCCATGTCATGCAAGAAATATAATATCCAATTTTATTTAAAATATTCCTTCCCCAATTATAGGTGGCCGCGGTAGCCGAGTGGTATAGGTATCGGATCATGGCTGGCTTTGTCTCGAGTTCGAGCCCAGTTCCAATACAAACCCGCCGTGTAGGGCAGTGATGCACGCTAAATCTGTCGAGAGCTGA